CTCACATAACTATTTGGTTGTGTTTAGGTAGAGATTGTTTTGAACTATTACACACCTATGTTTCAGGATCATTTCAGCAAAAATAACCAAAAATATTATCGTTTTTATTTTTGACTCTTTACATTCATGCCGCAGATGTTTAATGAATACAAAGTATAATTCATAGGAGATGTAATTCAAAAGTTAACAAAAGATGATATTCCTGCTGCTTTTTCATATGCTATGAAAACCAATAGGACATTTATGGTTGTTGTTGTTTTAACTGAATGGTCACTTAATTTCTATGATACTCATCTGTTCATATAACTATAAAATAAGGCATCCAAAGGGCTTTTTCTCCCAAGGTCAGCAATATAATATTGATGTACTTAAGCCAGAGAAATAATTCAGACTGGTATCATTAAGAAGTCTGACATTATGCAAAGCTAGATCATTCATTTTACTTATAAAAATTTCTAATTGGATACTCTGACAGTTTCGGCCTTTAAAGACGGTAGTATTAAAATAGAGCATAGAAAGAGTCATACAAGTGATTTCAGATTATGTACTATGCAATATTAATTTGTGCTCTCATAGATTACTTGTGGTCACACCGCTTGGTTCTATTTTCATAAAAATGTCTTGTGGAGAAACTTGAATCTTTAGAGAACATGAAATATCCTAGTACATGACCACAGAGGAAGCTATCCTGATTCCAAAGAGGGCAGGCCATCCTGGTATGAGTGTTACAAGTGAGAGGAAGTGGAATGATGACTTGCATGCCATTTCAATTATAGAAAAAAGCAAGTGGGTTGGTCTATCCACAGGCACGATCCTTTTAGGAAATTCCACTAAAAGAAAACAGGTCTTCCTGAAATGAGTGGGAAGGCCTCACACTCTGAGCACTGTAATTAGGTCTGTTTGTGTTCACTGGGCCTTGGCTCTCTCAAGGATCCATGTGGTTTCATATATTAAACCTGACTCTGACTGCACTTTCACCCTGACTCAAATAAAATAACTCACAGAATGAATCTGACAAATCTTCCTAAGCATGCTCCACCCAATGGATGTGGGATAGAGGATACAGAGTAAATTCACAATTATTAAGTGCTTACTCTATGCCAATCATTCACTTAGTAGTTTTTACACATTATCATGTGGTCAGTTTTCCACAACTATAAGAGGTTAAGTAATATTATAATTCCATTAAAAGGAGTCAATGTGATGCTTTGTCTTACTCCAAAGACCAGTCTTTCCTCCATATCACATTGCATCCCAGCATTAGTCCAAGACAAGAACAATTTGGAAATAGTGTCCATCAAGAAGAAAAATAAATGTAGGTTAGCCACCCATCTGCTCTAATGAATGGCTAACATGTATAAGAACTAAGTGGTATTTACATATTAAATGTTAAGAAATCATTATTATAACAGAAACATAAACTTATTTGCTTCCTTACTATGAATATATAGAGAGCAACTGTACCTAAGTTTCACAGTGTTAGTAAGTTGAAATTGGAATTGAAGTTTAAATGAAGTTAAAATGATGTAATATTAAGCGAATTTCTAATACACAAGAAAAACAGTGAAGTCAGGCACATCATGTCAAACACATATAAATAAATTTTCTGAAATCAAAAGTTGTTCTAAGAACTAGTAACCTTAAACCAGGGTTTAACAAATTTAATTAAAATTTTTTTTAATTTAATTTATTTTTTAAAAAGCAGTTATGTAAAAGCCAACAGATTCCATCTCTCTTCTGTTTCTTCATCTAAAATTGTTACTCATTCCTAATTTTTCCTGTTAAAATGAAGCTAAATTTAAACCTTGACTGATATTATAAAAATATAAATTTTAGTGATTATGAAAATAGTGAAATTAAAAATATCAAGATATTTAAGATCTAATTCTAGGCAAGTGATTTTGTTTTTTTCTTTAGCAGGAACAAAAATTAAAAGTCATCTAAAATAGGTCAAGTGATTCATCCAAAATAATTGAATAGGTTTGAACTGATTTGAGAAAAGTCACTCCTGTGCCAAAATTAGTTTTAATAGCTCCTTTCAATAAGGGGCTATTAAAATAGACCTTTCAAAAAGTACCTTGCTAGTATTTATTACTTCTGGCAGCAAAAATGATTGTGTAGTCTATGCTGATGCCTCAAACTCATTTATTTTATGCATGAATATGTAAACATTATGCTTCCAATTTTATTCTGGAATGGCATTTAATTTCAGGAGGCTTGTGATTCACAAAGTCCCTTGGTTCTCTCTCCAATGTGTCTGCATCCTCCCTCGTGCAGCAGTTCTGGTTTCTGCACCCTGTCAAATGTAACCTTTGTGCTAATTTGGTAAAATCAGTTCTCACGTTTAGTGCTGAGAGACTGATAACTGAATTCTCAAATGAACTACACATTTGCAAGATGAAGTACAGAGCTGTGGACAATGACTGCTTTCCCACAGTGTAAATTCTTCAGATTCAGCTGTCAACATGTAAGTGTGCAACACAAAAGCAGCTTTAACTTGATGACTTTTTTCCTCCAAGGCCATAAAAATGAAATGGATACTATACTCTCCTTTATGTTATTCCATCTTCTTGGATTTTCTTTTGGATGGACAGTGAAAGCCTGTATGCCCTTTAGAGTTCTTAGTAGATCAAAGTCTCCTTCTTGCTGAATAAAAACATTTTCCCCTCCTACATAAATATTTCAGTTTGAGAACAGACCAGATATAGCAATGTTAAGAGTTTCTCCCCCACTGATTTTGGCTCCATACAAAGTTTCATAATTTACAGAAGATATTTTAAAATTGTTCTCTGCAATTTTGTTGGAGCATGGCTCTTGTATAGTTTTGCACACATAGTTTTATGGTGATCTCAGCACCTTTTCTTTCCCTTGGTGAGGCCTCTAACTTTTCATATGGTCACCTACTATTCCTCCTGAATCCCCCAGCATGGGTATTTGATTCTATGTCCAGACCCTTCTGATTACCACAGTGTTTGTACTCAATTATGAATGATCTTTTTTTAAAAATTTATTTATTTGATAGACAGAGATCACAAGTAGGTAGAGAGGCAGGCAGAGAGAGAGAGAAGGGGGGGAAGCAGGCTCCCTGCTGAGCAGAGAGCCCAATCCGAGGCTCGATCCCAGGACTCTGAGATCATGACCTGAGTCAAAGGCAGAGGCTTAACCCACTGAGCCACCCAGGCGCCCCTATGAATGATCTTATACATCATCTGCATTTAAGATACAAACAATGGGGAAGTGATGTCAAGCTTACTGGAAACCTGGCAAAGCAAGAAATGAGGGAAGCTAAGAGAAGTGGCACTCTAAAGAGAAAGGGGTATTTAACAGTGAGAAAGACTGCAAGAGATAGTATCCAAATGGACATACTAATTATAAAACAGGGTACAGAAAGTTATTTGTGTCTTTTGGAGAAGCAGCTCCCTGGGCTCAAACTCAGGTTTAAAGTGGCTAATGGAGCTGAAAATATTGAGGAAACAAGATTCTAACCAGACTATGGACTTAGACACACAGGGATTTTACATCATACCAGGATTAAAGGAAGAATTTGGATAGAATAGATGAGCAAGTTTTCAGGTCAGGGGAAGAAATCAGAGAAGGAGAGAGAGAAAGACAGCAAAGAAATGTACATTGGGTAAATTTATGATAAAACAATAAAATTAAGAGCAAAGGCAAAGTGGTCAAACATGGAAGGTCAGAGGCACACCATTCACACTAATACATAAATAAGAGGATGATCAGAAACGTTGTAGGAGAGCAGAGAAGCTGGCTGAGGTAATTTGAAGTATGTTTTATGTTTTGAATAGTCACTTTACAGTGTGAAAATTTATCAGAACAAAATTATCATAGACAACTCATGGTCTTCTGAAGTTTCAGCAAGATTCCCAGAAGTATGATTTTTCTCTAACAAACCAATGAAAGAGAGAGGTGATAAAAGGAATTCTGGGTACCCCAAAAGGGCAGGAAAAACAAGTGTGGCAGAAGTTCCAAGAATGAGATATTCAAGCATCTTACTGAGAACATAGACGGACTATAATCCATGAGCTCCATCCTTATTAATGAGGCAGGTGAAACCAGGTAAAAGTTCATAGATGACAGATTAGGGTCTGGACAGCTTTATTTCATAAGACTAAAGACAGATATATATGGAGATAGTTAATAAGAAAAACATGACAATATTGTGGGGGCCATTATAAAAATCTTAATAAATGTGTGAGTAATAACAAAAATCAAACTCTACATAGAAGAATAGATCAGGATTACTAATATGAATGAAAATGTTATTTATTTTAGGCATATACATTATACATTTTGAACATTTGCTTCTCTATTAAATTTATTTATATACTAAAAAGAGAAAGGCAGTAAAAAATCTATTTGATCAAGTTGAAGCCAGTGCCTGAAGTTCAAGAAACTGGGTTCCTGCTCCAAGTCTTCCATTACTAGGTTACAGACAATCTTAGATAAAATATTGGTTTTATTTTTCTCACCTAAACAAACTGAGAGAAGATATTAAGAATATCAAAAGAGAATCAAATGAAATCATATAAAAATCCTCTGAAATTCTGAAAACATTTTCAACATAATGTTATTAGCACTACAATCTGTTTAAGTATTCAAGAATGCGTATGACGCTCTCAGGGCAATATGAGAGGTGTAGGGGGAAAAAATACTACATCATGAGATTTGTTGTGGTATCTGTGTAAGACAGGACCGGTAAGCCATTATCTGTTTCCATTGCCTCCCTTCCGCAGCTCTAGCCCAGATCTATTTCTTTCCACAGTTAACTACTGAGAAACTTCAATTCTGGCATGAAGCAAATATTTTCCTGAGTTTTTAATCTCGTTTTTCTCGTCTTCCCCTGTTTTCTCACACCCATAGTCATGAATCACCACCATGAGTTTAATTGCACACTAAGTCTCAAGTCACAAGGTAAGCTGTCCATGACAAGTACAGTTACACATGTTATGTAACATGCCTGGGCCCTGGCCCGCACCACCTACCATTGAGCCACCTGGAATCATGCTGCTCTGTCCTAATTGGATGGTGGTGCCCGAGAGTTCTGAAGATTGCAAAATCGCGCCCCATAAAATCAGCCGCAGTCCCGGAGTATAATTCTCCATCTGTGTTGTGACAAAATAAAAGCAGGTACACATCCTTTAATTAAATTAAGGAAAGAAAAAACACACAAAATAAGTTTCATGTAAAGACGCTAAGAGAAAGAGAAATGCTTTCTGCATCATTAAGCAGTTATTTACTTTTATCCTATGTCTTTCTTGAAAGTATTTTAGTAATACTTTAACTTTTTCAACTTAGTAAATGCTCACTAAGTATCTGACTACTCATTAAGAACTTTGTAAAATGAAGTAAAATATGATTTCAGGGATATTACTAAAACATAACATTTATTCCTTTCTACATTATGTGGACAAAAGAAAAAAGGTATACTATATTCATTACATTTTTATATGTGTAAAGCTATTGCACTTCTAATATCCTTATTTATTAGGGTAAGATCCCACCATAAAATATTATTTATAGTTTTTATTTTAATGGAAATTAAATTTTCACAATATATTTCCTTTTTAGTGGTACCTGAGTAAGATTTTGCAATACTTTAGAAAGGACTAATATTTTCTTCCCCAAAACTGTTTTCTTGCTTTTTATTTTTGAATATATCAAATGGGAAAAATGTTCTAACTGACTATAAGTCATCACATAGTCTAAAAAGAATTTAAGATATAAAAGAATTATGTCTGGCATCTGCCTGACTCAGGAGAACATGACTCTTGATTTCAGGGTCATGAATTCAAGCCCCATGTTGAGTGTAGAAATTTTACTTAAATAAGTACAAGTAAAAAATGTTAAAAAAGGAGAAAAGTCTGAAGAGGAGGAAATTTTCACAAATACAGGTCATAATCACCACAATTAAAGATTCTGTTTCTTGATTCATTTCTACTTAAATTATTAAATATTTAATTAAACTAATATTTATTATTATTTAATTAATATTTAATTAAACTCTAACTCCAGGTCAGAGTTTAATAATGGAGGACTCACAGTGACCAGGTTAAAAGGAAAAGGAAAAAGGGAGGAGAAAGAGAAGTTAATATTTACTGAATACCATTCTGTGTTTGCAGGGCAGCTAGGCAGTGACTTGACACTTTCAAATTATCTCATTTAGTTCTGTCAACAACCCCATGATGTAAATGTTATCCCTATTTTATAGCTCGAGAAACCCAAGGTTGCTCAGTTGATGACTAGGAAAGTAAGGGTGAAAGTTCAAGCTCAGGCCTGTTTAATCCCAATCCTCTTCCACTAAACCATACCAGCTCTTAATAAACTGGAGGTAGTAAAAATTATATTTTCTTTCTTTTAAAGAAAAGTAGTCCTCTTATTTCATCCATGAAACACATTATTGCCTGCTTACTGATAGTGAATTATCAGCAAAATGAAACAATTAAAAAATATAAAATTTTCCTCTAAATAATCTACCATAATGATAGTAAACTTAATATTATCTTGTTGGTCATTTGGATTAAGTTAATGTTTCTGTATTCACTGATTTGAAAAATAATCAGAAAATAAAATAGGAGTAGATAAATTATAACTTAAACATTTGTATAACACTATCATTTCCAAAGGATTTTCATATTTATTAGATAAACTGAAAAAAAACTTCCTGTGCATCTTTAAGCATAAATGCCTTTGGGAAAGTCTTGTTAACTGATTTCTCATGTGATATTCTTTGTCCATACCCTGACTTCTCACTTACAGATAAAGGTTTTATAATGAAAATAGACATTCTCAGTGATCCAACTCAATCAATTCCTTTGGTAGGACCTGTGGTCCTCTAATGTGTCTGAATGCACCAACCTTTGGAGAATGTCCAAGGCAGTGGAGAAGAGCTAAGCAGAGTGAATCACGACACAACTCCAAGGTCTAGCTTGAAATATTAATAAAAAGATACGTTTTCTTACAAATGAGTTTTAAGACAGTGATCATTTATTTTGGATTGCTGTGACTCAGGGCAAGTAAAAATAGCACTTTGACAATATAGTAAGTACAAAGTAGTACATAAAGGAATGGTACTCTATTACTCTAAATTGTCGTGGTATTTTGGGATTCAAAAGCATCTTGTGTTCTCTTTACCTAATTAAATACCAAGTTCAAATTTGACCTGCTTTTATCATAATATGCTGCAATAACATTTTATCTGCCAAGGTAAAAAAAAAATAAACATTTTCTAAAAGCACAAAAATGCTATGAATAAGCCATAAGTTTCAAAGGTACTTTGAAATATGTAAATTCCTACTGTCTCCTTAATTTTAACTTATTTTCAATTGCTGTTTAACACTTTTATTAAGGTTGATATTATATCTTTTTATAAATAATTTATAAATAGATGTAACGGATTTCTAAACTTCAGGTAAATTATTTGTGTGAATAACAGGCCCCTAGTTAAAAATGTGTTGTAAAAGCAGCCTAAAATTTTAATACTAATTTCAAATATTTTAATGTTACACATCTACCATAGGACGCCTTGAGTCCTCTTTACCTTGAAAAATCAAAAGTATTAAATTATTAGTTGAACCTCATTGCCCTCTCAATGACGTGTTAGGTTATGAAAATCAGGAAATGTGAAAAGAGAATCACGAAAAGAGGCGACTGGACAATTTCATACCAGAGCGTAGTCAGACAGAACATGCCTAACAGGAGGTATAAACAGAAACGGAAGAGTAAAGAATGTCATTTTTTTTTTTTTTACTTCTCTGTGACTTTTTTTACTATAACTGGAAATTAGTAGACTTAGTACCTTTCCTCTATTTCATCCAAACTTTTTTTTTCTTGCTTTAGCATGAGTAAAATCCATAATTACACTTGTTATTACATATAAACTCTATGCAGGGGAGATTCGGAAGTAACAAATCAACACCAAAAGCAGCTATTATTTGGATACATATAAGTATTTGTTTCTCTTATTAATTTATACACTTGTTTTATAACTTATACTTTTTTCATTCATTTCCACATAAGCAAGGCAAAAATCTATATAAATGAAGACAAAAGCAGAAAGTTTGATTCTGCTTTTCTTTTGACAACAGATAAGTAGGTCATTTAGAGAGAGTTCTTCAGTAGGAAAGCTACTGATCAATTTATTACTGAAAACAGAATTAAAGAACTGACTTAGACACCAAAAGAAGTTTTCAGTTTAGGCACTGGTTGCCTCCAATCATAAGAAATTCCCTCCCACCTGAATATTAACTTTTAGCAAGAGTCAATGTGATTTTGGGGAGCTGTAGGGGCACCTGACGATTAAGTGGCCATGAAAGGTACATTCTCATATTGTCAATACTCACTATCAGTAACTGTTTTTTATATGAGGCCTTAAACCAGACCTTCTGCAGAGGTATCTATAGGATTCTTATCAGGGATGAATGCTCCACAGAAATTGTAGGACATATTTGTTATTACACCCAAATGTACAGGTGATAGAATATCCTACTTTTGCATTCTCATAGGCAAATAAATTATAGTCAACTTAGAATGTGCTTTATTTAATATACTTATAAATCTCCATCATGGATTAAAGAGTTAGTACATTCTGTGGCTATATAAAATGATCTAATGATAAGTGAGTATAAGAAATTTACTATATCTCAGTTGGCTTATTTTTGGAGAACAAATATGTTTAACAAAAAATGTCTACTTGTCAAACTTCTCTTGAAGTTCCTAGGTCATTTATGAAGTTATCAAATTATATGTTGATTTTTGGGCATAATGCTAATTTTCCGGTTTCCTGACCCTTAATATGTCTTCTTGAAAAATCTGAAGTATTAGGTAAATGTATCCTACAATGATTCAAATAGCATCATGGTTAAAATGCATACTTCTGGTTTTCTATATGTACTAAGCTATAGTGAAAGAAAATATGACATTTGTCCAATTTTATTAAACTGATGGTATAAATATGTTCAAGGAATTGTTATATATATATCAAAAAGTGGCTGTGGATACTCTGTCCAACAAAGTTTTTAGTCTCTTCACAACAGACACCACATAGCAAGTTTGATGACTCAAAAATAATACATCAGACCAAGAAAATTTAGTGCTGACAGATGTAACTAAGTATCGAAAAATTATCAAATATGAAGTTAGTATTTGAGTACTCTGCCATTCTTTCTTAACTGTAAGATTTCTAAACTATCTCTATGGAAAGCATTCTTTACTGAGGTGAACAAAGAGTTTAGTGAAATGCATTTCCACCATGGTAGAATTACCTGAGAAGCATGTGTTAAAAACAAAAGTTCGTATGTACTTCTGGACTTTATGTTCACAGCTCAAATGTTCACAGCTCAAAATGTGGCTTAGATCAGTTACTGTATTGGGTTGCAATTCCTAAGAAGGGTGTGGTAAGAAGTAGAAGGTGAAAAAAAAAAAACATTTCCTGATGAAATCACAGCATTACTAACACAGGTGTAACGTGTGACATGGATGTTGAGCAAAAATCAAACAAACCTAAGGACAAGCCATTATGTTGTTAACACCTTGAGTAAATTCCACTCACAGAGTAGAGGAGTAATTAGAAACAGAGAAAAATGAATTTATGTCTCTCTCTTGCACACAGATTATACACACTCTCACACAAACATGCACACACATGCAGGGCATGGATGAAACCCATTTCTTGAGAATGGAAGGGTATGGGAATAATTTTACATTTTTACGTCTATTGGGTATCTTCTCTGTACCAATAAATATAATATGCTGGCCTTCTTACTTATGTTATCCTTTTAAACTAACATTTTTTGAGTTTACATGTGTACATGGTGCAAAATTAAAAATATAAAGTTAATAAGGTACCAACTCTCTCTCTCAGACTCCTTTATAGCCACCACTGTTATTTTTTTTTCTTGGCTTCTACTTCTACATACATTCCAGAAATATGTTAAGTACCCAAACATGGTACGTTATTAAACTGTCTTAACTTTCACAACAAACTAGGGGAATCAGCATGGCCATGCCATTTTACGTATAAGGAAACTGAGGTTCAGGGAGGTTCAAATAATATTCTCAATTATAATTAATTAATTTAGGGAGTACCTCATGTGATCTAATACCAAGTAAGAGCATATTCTACTGTTAAATTATTATTTTTTTTCCTGAGGCAAGGCAGAATTCTGTCTTGGGGAAATAGACCATAGCTAAAAGTCCTAGACTGCTGAAATAGATTTCAACAATATTACTCAGTGATAGGTTATTTCTAAATTATTAGCACTACAATGCCTGGGGAACAATACAATGAGGAAACAAAAATACTTTCAAGTTGACTACACCTTTCACATCATGAAAATGTGAGATGACAATTAGTGTGGAAAATATAAGATATTATTCTTGTGTCCAGACCTGGCATTTATTCTGAGTAGGGGAGAAATTATTTTTAATAAAGGATTTTTAAACAAAGTCATTACAATTAAAATATTTACAGGTGGATGAAACAAGACATACTTAAAAATAAATACCAATAATTTCGTACTGACAAAATGATTTTTATTAAGGGACATTTGAAAAACTAACCTTACTAAGGAAATTTATTTTATAAAATTTTTAAATTTAAATTCAATTAGCCAAAACATAGTACACTAGTTGCAGATGTAGTGTTCCAAAATTCATCAGCAGTGTATAACACCCAGTGCTCATCATATCATGTGCCCACTTAATGTCCATCACTAGTTACCCCATGCCTCCATCCCCCTACCCTTCAGTGACCCTCAGTTTGTGTCCCAGAGTTAAGAGTCTGTCATGGTTTGTCTCCCTCTCTGATTTCTTTCCTTTCGGTTTTCCCTCTCTTCCCTGATGGTCCTCTCAAAACTTAGGACATGTTATAGGATTTGGAGACTTAATTTAGTAGCTATGCACTGCTCAAGAAAGAATCCATATTTTCTGCGGTCATCAGCTTAAAATCCCATGGCAATTTGTTTAAATTCCAGTTAGTTAATATACAGTGTACTATTAGTTCCAGGAGTAGAATTTAGTGACTCATCACTTACATATAACACCAGTATTCCTAGTGCCCTCCTTATGTCTGAGACTTATAATGATGTGTCAGTGTTGGTTCAACACTTAGAACAAATGTACCATTATGGTGGAGGAAGTGGATAATGGGGAAGCCTATACGAGTGGGTGTGGGGGATATATATAATATCTCTGATATCTTCTCCTTTTCCTGTGAACCTAAAACTGCTCTAAAAAGCAAAGTCTATTAAAAAAATTAATGATAAAAAAACTATGGCGTTTTGAAAAGTTATACTAAGCATTGATAAATTTCATTAATTTTTAAGCTGTCATCTGGATTGAAAGCTTATTAGTGGTTGAAACTGCTTAATAAGGGGCTGACTGATGATATAAAAAGTATCTGCTGTGAAGACTCCTCTAACCAGTTTATACATGGTTTGAGTCAAACATGAAATTTTATTTCCCAGTACTGGGGAAGGAAACAGCCCAGAACTACCTTAAATATTTCTCTCATGTGATGAGATGAGGAAAATACATGCAAAATCTCTTGGGCACATAGGCTTTCCCAATAGCCATTCTCAAACATTCAATGCACAATCTGTATATTTCAGAGACACCTGTAATTCCTGTATGTAGAAGTTTGGGAAGTGCTATAGAGAGCACTTATGTTAAAATAAAAACAAAAAAACAACTCTATCAAATGCTTTTTAAAACAGCATAAGAGAAAATGACAAGAAAAACTCAACAAAGGGAATTAAATGTACTACAAGAATAAGAATTTATAGCCTAGTTACAAAGAAAGAAGGTAACAAACCCAGTTCTTGAATTAAAATGATGTCGCTGATATTTTGAGGGATTTTACAAGGTCTAGTATGACGTGTTCATTTTTTTGTATCTTGCTATCCAGCTGATTCAGAAATTAATTTATGTTGGCTTGAATAATTTTCCTTGTCAAGAAGCACCAAACACCTCTAAAAGTTACCTGATTATTTTACAGATTGGATAGGTGAAGTCTAGACTTGCATTTAAAAGCTGCCTTTTTTTTTTAAGCCACACATCCTTTTCTTGACTCATGAAACTTCCCTCATTCTCTTTTCCTTTTCACAAACTTATACAGCTTTTTCAAAGAAGTTCTAATATAAAACCCAAACTATGGAGTTTCATATTCTTTGTGGCCTTTGTGTGGTTGCATACCATATGAACTATGTAATACTTACTTGTCATCATCCTTTCTCAATGGAATATTAAAATAAATAATCAAGCAAATCCCCACTGAGAAACATACCACAAATTAAAGCTGCTTTAGGCATAATTTAACATACTGCTTTTTGAGGAATATCTATCTTTTTTTATTTTTTTATTCAGTATGCAATTTAAGTAAGTATAGGCTGCAAGTTTGAGCAAGGTAGAACTCCTCCCTTTTGTTTAAGACAACTTTCACATTTCTGTGTGTGCACTTAAGGAAGTCATCCACATGTAATCACTAGGCCATCTGTGAATAGGTAAATTATAAGTGTGCTGCATTTGCTGCATTCCTTCAGGTCTTAAACTTTTGTTAAAAAGCTCCATAAATGGATCAAATGGACTGAAATTGTCTACATCTGAAAAGCAATAGAGAAGATAATTCATGTTGTAATGTTCTTATTCTTAATAGAAAAGAGATCAGTGAAACAGTGGTAAAGTAAACACTAGAGAATACTGGAAAAATGTATCTTCATACTTAACGCTGTAGTCAGTATGACTAGAGTTTATTTTGTTAAGTAGAAAAAAAGTTATTTTTAAAAAGAGAAGACTGGCAAAACTGAACTTTGGACACCATCAAATAATAACCTATATTTTCCTTTTTTAAAAAAATCTAGATTTCTTATGCAAAAGTCAGAAATTTTATACTCCATAAGTTTCACTATTTTTTATTATCAAATAGTTATTTCCTACATTTTCTAGAAAAGGGGAAAAAAAAGAAAAGGAAATAAAAGTTATATAATCTCTACATGATCATACAGAAAAATATATTCTGGAATAGAGTAATGACTCAGAATCTTTTGTGTTTTCATTGTTGGTATGCCCAAAAGTTAAAAGAAAAGAAAAAAAGAATAATTGTTTAATGATGTATCACTTTTCATGTGTTTATTTAACATAGTTTAAAGGTGATTAAAAGTATGTGGAAATAATTCTTTATCTTTCAATACAGATTAAAGTTTTCTCCTTCTTCTGCTTGCTTCTATCTTCCTATTTCCAACCTTTAGAACTATGACTAAGCATTTCCTCCCCAGCTACATTGTTGAAGGAAAAAAAGAAGACAATCAGAAAAGAAGATGGTTAGAAGAATGTGTAGAGGAAATACTTTAAGTGTTTTTGTTACATTAAAAAAAAAAAAACTAAAGTTAAAAAAAAAAGATGAATACAGAGGCCCTTCATTAATACAAGTAACACAATAGCGTCTCTGCCAATTGTACAACCATTAAAACTGATTGTGCTGATTAAGTTGTCTAAATGTTGAGAGTATGACAAATCTTGTAATGACACTGAATAAGATAGACTGAGTATCATTCTTGCCTTCTGACTTGTCAAAATTTCCCCTGGAAACACCTCTTTCATAAAATGAAAACCAAAACCATTTTCTCTCAGAATATAAATTTTAAAGTTCTAGTGGGGATGTATACTGATTGAGCAGGCAATTTTAAAGACACTTATTAAACCACTTTGATTAAAAAGAATCACAAACTAGAGAGTGTAAAAACCAAAACAGCATTTAGTGTGTTTTCTTCATTTTCAAAATATTTGAAAATACCTCAACTGACATCCTCCTAAGATAGTTTGTGATTAATAATGGAAAGTCTTGATATATAAAAAGGAACAGCAATCTGGTTATTATCTATAGAAAATGCACTGTTTAACTGATTGTTGACTACGCACCTATTAAAAGAGATGCTGTCAGCAGTTTAGGGTCATACGGACTCTTCCCACGGCCATTTTCAAAATGTGAGTCCTCCAGCTTAAAAATGTTATCCTGTAGAGAAGAAAACAAAGGGCTGAATATATTTATAAGAGGAAGTATGTTAACATACTTGTTAATTAGAGAGAGGTTGAATACTCATGTCCATCCTCCAGGGATATTATTTGGTAAACTTTAGAGATGGCAAAATTACCTAAGGAAATTAAAACCAACTATTACTGCCAAAATCTTCTTAGCTTGGTGATTTTCAGTAACATTTAGCATGTTATAAGTAATAATGTATAAATGAACTCCAAGGAATAAGACATGTCATAATAAGAATAGAGTGATCATCTTATCACATAAGTAGGCCAAGCACAACCCTAATGGCTCTTGAAAGGAGAGAAGTTTATATTTAAATGACTCTTTTTCTCCCTCCACAAACAGGAAAAAATAGCAATCCGCTATATTAGATCTAACAAAATACACTATTTTACTTTTCCCTATGGACCTTCCAGAAGGAAATGCTAAATAGCCACAGAAGTCACCTCCCCACTCTATCATTCCTACAACTTTCCTGTTTATATGCTTCTCAAGCATTTTCAAATTACTCAAATTAGAAGGTGGGAAATACCTGAAAACTATCAATTTCTGTAAACGTGAAATATCAAACTGGATGTTAGGGGAGGTAGGCCTGGAGGTAGTGTCATCAGAACAACAGTATAGAGGTGACACATTTTTATCAGGGGAAAATCTGCTCAGCTGAGGCTCACGTACCCAGAAACTGGAGTGAAAACCTCACTACCTGACTACAGAAATACACACAAGTACCAAGGTAGAAAGAATTCCAGAAAGCTCTGCAACAGAAGCCTTAAGAAGGAAATAGCTAACTCATGACAGAGACCCTGTTTTCAGAATGCATCAAGCTACTGAAAAGCAATGTCTATGTGAGAGCAGAGTAAATTGGGGGAAGGGGTCATTTCTAAGCACTCTTTTTAGAACCAAGTTCTCTGTGAATTAATTAGGTCAGAATATATATGCTTTTTCCAGTAGCACATTAACTTGTCCACAGACCGAAATAAAATAGCTTTTTTGGCAATTTCTCTACTATTCACATAAAGTATTTTCCATCTCCTTAGAATAATAAAGGGTGTTCATTTTATGGTCAATAAGGATCACTTTCTTTAACATTTAGTAATTCTGATGGAGCTAATGGCAGAGGTTCAAATTATGACTCTTAAAATTCATTTGAGTTAGGGAAGAAGAGTGCAAAAGGAAGCAAACCAAAAGCATTCTCCATCTTTATTACTGTGAGTGAGAATTACTGATTTTATCCTTTGCTCGCAATGGTTCTGTATCGGTAATTAGGTATCCCAGGGCAATGATGGTCCTTTAGCTGAGTTCTGAAATTTACAGAGCACAGAAATTTATGAGGTTTCTCAGAACTGTGCTAAGTTGTACTGGGAAGGGCAGTGAGTCAGAAGTCAGGCCCGTTTGGGCCAAGGATTAGCTCTGGTTCTTTGGTCACCAATTAATCTCTCTGAGCTTTAGGTCTCTAAAAGTCAATGCCAATAGGGTATTTAACTTCCCATGTTTATTATAAGGATTAAAGAACTGAAATAAAGCATTTTTAAAGCAGCACAATAAAAGATGAACACTATTTTTACTCTAATTCTGTTCACATAACCACTATAACAAAAGAATATGAAAATTTGACACATATTATCATTATTGTTGTAAACTTTCCTAGCATAATCTGAAATATAACTTTAAGACAGATATGTAAGTAACCAAATTATAAACTTGTTAACAAATACAAATTTATCATAGGTACTTGAATATTAAAATGATAATATGAAATGTGACATATGCCAACAAAAAGTACAGAAGAATCTCTTAAGTATTATTTAGATACATTTTGATAAAAATTAGGTAATAATCCAAAAGAAATCTCTCAGTAAAAGATATAGACTCTATTGCTACAAATCACAGACACTTATTAGAATTTGCATAGGTGATTATTTCTCATAATAAGCAGAGAGAAGTGATGATGTGGTTGAAAATATTGTTTTTAGTATTATTACAAATTTCTTGTCCTTATAAGATATTTTGCAAAATTGACAAAAGATAGAGGAGTTACCCACCAAATATGAGACACTTGATGTCTGGGAACTTGTGTCCAAGTTAATAAGACAATGTCAAGGTAGATAAGTTCTCCCAACCTCATGTTTAATATTTGATTTACAAAGTCAAGGATTAAACTTAATAGCAGAGAGGTTAAGCATGACAGTTATGGTTCAAGAGAAGATGAAAAACTACCCTTTGTCATGGTGTCAGATAATGTGTTCAAAGCTGGCCTTTTTGTTTCTGCATTTCCCTTTAAATGTAACTCTTACCCAAATTTCTGGGTAATTCTATATTCTTACATAACTCTACTAAAGAGTAAAGCTTTGAATTTCCTTTTCAGCCTACTAATAAGAGAGCCTGGAATAAACATTAATTGATTCCTGAATAGGGACTTAAAAGACATTTCTTACATATGAATGTTTACAGTGTAAAATGTATACCCATTACATACTGTAATGGGGTGCAAAGGTATTGATATCAGACAGAACTATTATCCCTGGCTCTGCCTTATTAATTCTGGGCCTCAGGGAATTCCTAAATCCTTCTGAAACTCAAATTAGCAATTTCTAAAAAAAAAAAAATTAATTTCATTTTTGCATTGTTAATAGTTGCTATGGTAAAATCATTCTTTCCCATATTGATCGGTATCTCTTGTGCCACAGTGGAAATGCCTGCCTGTATTTTCATCAGTGGAAATTAGGAGAGGTGTTTAAAATATTTCTAAATCCCATGGACTCCCAAAAATGCACTGAAAATTTTTCTTACCTATAGCTAGACCACAGCCTAGTTCAAAAGCTTTCCTGAACAGTATCACTAATTATAGTCTGCGTAAAATTTCTCAACTAAAAGAGACAATCCTTTTAATATATCTGATAAATTCAATGTGATTGATATAAAGAAACACCTACATTGTTGTTCTTGTTATCTTGTGAGCAAGACCTATTAGATGTGTAAAAATATTAACCCATTGTGAAAAAAACAAAACTGAACAAAACAAGTGTGTTAATATAACTGAATAATAACATCCTATGTTGTTATATGTAACATATCACATAGACAACCTTCTGACTGGGCTTAGAGGCCTTTTGAAATCTGATTGTTACTCAATAATTTTCTGTTTTAATGTTAAATAGATCACATGTGCAAATAATAAGACCAGAAATCCTAAGACCAATGTACACAATTAAACTTCATAGCTTTCTATGTCTTAGTTGGGTTGAAATAATATTCATTTTTAGAAATCCATGAACAAAAATCTAGCTGCATGGATTCTAATTGCTTTAGCAGATACTGTGAGCATATCATATAAGTTATTGAGCCATATTTTATTACATGATTGCATCAGTTTTCAGCAACTATTTTTAGCTTTCAAGACCACTCTTTCCCCTTTGTCTTTTGGATTTCCTGAATGTTATTAGACTGTGGTGAGGTAAGACATTAGAGGAAATAATAACTGTGCTAATGTCTAATCCAAAGTCTTATAAATTAGAAACCATTGGTGACATCATGGCAATAAATTTCCTAAATCTCAATCTTCCCCAAGTAATAAATTTAGGTAACAAAGTTGTAATTTCAGTTGTGTTATTTAATGATTAAAACATAAATGATGTTTGTAAAAAGAAAAAAAAAAGAGAAAATCCTACATACATATAATAGAATGACCATTTTGGCTGGGAAACCAAATAAAATTAAGTCAAACCGATACATTGACAGTATTTAAAAATGTGTATTATTCTATTTTTTTTTTTCAAATTGCTCTTTCTCCTCTCTTACTTCACGAGACATACCTTATTTGCCAGTTATATTGAATTATCAAGTATTCCCTGGTCACACTATGTTTTTTTCTCATCTCTGTTTGAAACCTCTTTCTTCTCTCCTCACCTTTCCTCATCCTTCAACCCCAGGTTGAACTTCTTTTCCTTTAAGAGTAAATTAAAAAGTCTCTTCCTAGCAGAAGTCTTAAGAGATTGCTTCAGATATAATTTATTAGCTTCCTTTGTGCATATCCCAATTAACAATACTACAAGGCAATGACTATACTGGCTTCAGCAAAGATGGGATGTAATAGGATCTCACAGGAAATACTGTGGCATACTCTATTTTGCCCAAAGGTGACTGCTTTTGTGGATCAAATTCATCTGGAATTTACTTTTTCCCAAAAAGGTGACTAGATCTATGTTGCATAATATTATAGCCATGAGCCACATGCAGCTATTTAATTAATTAAAACTAAAGATTCCATGCCTCAGTTACACTAGCTACATTTCAAGTTCTCAACAGTCACATGAGAATTGTTACTACAGGCCTGCATGGGTACAGACATTTCCATTGTCACAGAAGCTCTACTGGACAATGCAGCTCTAGATCCTAAATCCCAGTCTCTGAACAGTAAAGAATAAAACTGGAAAATCAGGAAGGCCTCCAAGAAAAGAAGATTTGTCATCACATCACAGTCATAGTAAAAAAAATAATAAAAAATAAAAAATAGAAAAGCCATTAAATCTACAAGCAGGGAATTATACCAAAAAAAAAAAAAACCCACTTATTTTTATTAACCAGGGTTATACTAAATACCTTTTAATGGCAGTACAGATGAATAAATACATGTCCCAAATAGTCGGGTATGTCATTCTTCTTCCATTTGAATCATTTTTCTCTAATGTACACATTTTACTCATTATTTAAAGTTTAGGTCATGATATGCAATCCATTAAATGGTCATTGATTTTTCCCAGCAGAAAAAAATAATTTCTCCCTGGAATTTGCAGAGCAGTCTATTCATACCCTCTTAGTGTCATCTGTTACCTTCAACTTTGATATTCCATGGTGCATATGTTCTTTTCTCCCCTATTAAATTATTTTGAGTTGAGGGAAAGAATCTTATTTGCTATGTATTTTTTTAAAATACTAAAATAGAATTGAGTTAAAGCTCAATGAAAGAATGAGTG